ACAATTCTTTCTCCAATATAGCAACCTGTACTACACCTATTGAGCAGTGAACTCAGGTCATCCATATAGACGCTGAAGAGATATGGGGACAGAATCCCTCCCTGCCTTACACCATTTGACACTCCAAAGAACTCTGAGTATGTGGATCCCCATCTCACACACATCTTTTGACTAGTATACCAAAAAGACAATATTCTAACTAAACATGCTGGTACTCCCCTGCGGTTCAGCTTATCAAAGAGTAGACTGTGGTTTATTCTGTCAAAACCTTTACTGGCATCAAGGAAGCATAAGTGCACATTGCCCTTCATAGATCTATACATACTCACAACTTCCTTTAGAGCATATACACATTGATCTGTTCCCATACCCTTTTTATAAGCAAATTGATTATCTTGAGTACCTAAGAAAGGTTTTAACTTTTTGAGCAAAATGATCTCATACACCTTACTGATGATACTGGCTAATGCTACTGGCCTGTAGTTATTCATCGAACTGATGGAACCAGCCTTATTCTTTATCACAGGGACTAGAACTACTTTCATCAAAGAATCTGGCAACTTTCCATGAACCATGCAGGCTGTGAAACACAGACTCAGTAGAGGTACAATTCGACCTGACGCATTCTTTAAATGCTCAGCAGAGATCCCATCTAAACCACACGATTTACCTATAGCTAGCTCCCTGATGGCAGCATCTACCTCATCTACTGATACGAGAGCACTTTCGCAGTCCCCTGAAATATCCTCACTCAATTCATCCATCTTACTCACAACAGAGTTAAACAAATCTTGAAAATGTTGTTTCCATAAAGAGGCAATATCCTCTTCTCCACGTACCCCTTCCATCATAGTAGGTCTAGGTACCTGTGAGCCACTCATTACCCTCACTTCCTTCCAGAAACCTTTGGTGTCCCTCTCAACTAGCTTTTTGGCCAATGCTTCCCTGCGTAACTCATTTTCATGCTTCTTAATATATCTCAAGGCACTTTTAAATCTAACCTTGGCCTCCCTGTGAGCTTCATAAACGGGGTCCTGTCTCGGCTTACCAGCCTCCTTCCAAACAATGAAATTCTCCCTTGATATCTCATATAACTCCTCAACATAGTCATTCCAGCCAGGTTTGGAAGATTGAGCACCATTCTCCCTCCTTCCCGCAAGTAGCTCTTGCCCAGCTTTGCTGAGACAATTCACTACTCCTTCATACAACACGAATATGTCCTGTACATGATTTACCTCTTTACAGTTTCCATCTGCACATTTCACAGCCTGTGGGATTTTCACTTTCTTTAAATAATGGTCTGTAGCATTTCTATACCTCGCTATGTCCTGTTTGGTTACTCTATCCCAATCAACATTCTTACTTCCAGCCATCTTACTCTCCGAATGACTAGGCAATTTGGGTATATTCAGATTTACACTAACAGGCATGTGATCGTCTTGAGCAATGCCATATCCTATCTCAATTGATGATATGATCCTGTGCATGTCCGCACTACACACTGCATGGTCTAGCCAGGACACAGTTCCCCAGCTACTTGAGACGAAAGTGAAGCTATCTGAAGGCAATAGCGCTTGACTAGTGTTAATGAGTGAATGTTCCTCACAGAACTCAATCATATACTTTGCAAACATAGCTTGTCCTGTCCGTCCTAGATTTGCATTCCAATCACCTACAAGGATATATGATGTTGAGCTTATCCCTTCTATTATGGAACTTAGCTCTCCTAATTTCTCGATATAGTCTAATTCATTTTCTACACACTGATAAGGCAAATACAAACTAAGAACAAAGAACTGTTTGTCGTCAATGGATACTTTAGCTCCTATGCACCAATCAACCTCAAAATGAACTGGTTCGATACAGCTCTGCAGAGACTGTTTGAATAGAATTGCAACTCCTCCAGGAGCATGCCCAGTACACAGTCTACTCTGTAAGTCAGCAGTAGCTGTTCCAAAACCAACAAAGTCTGGGTGTGCATTATTGAGGCTATACAAATCCTCTTTAAACAACCAAGTTTCTTGTAGACATATCATATCTGACCTTTCAAGCAAATATTCCATATCCTTACGAAGGGAAAGTGCACTCCTGTTCCTTGGAAAACCATGACAATTGTAAAAACTAAGTTGCAGCATAAAAAACTACTCTAAGAATAAAAAAGTTCTAAAAGTTCTAAAAAAGTTCTAAGTGTTTGAAGACTGTCTACTTTCCTCCCGTGTGAGATGAGTCTCCATCCCCACCCATAAAACTGCCCTTCCACCAGCGTACGTAAGCTCCCTCTGGCCATACTGCATCATCCATGAACACCTTTGGGTTTACACATTCACACATGACATGAAAGGAGTGATAGGTATCATACCTCGTTTTAACTGGGCTAACACTCACTTCCAGATGAAGTCTCTCCTCCAGATACCTTTTAAGCATGTCACTACTAACACTGGTATCAAAACGAGAAGCAAAGACACTGGCATATTTAGCCTTCACCACCTTCTTCACCGTTGTTTGACCAGACTCTTTCACAGAGCCACTTACGTGCCTCTTTCCAGCTGGTCTCAGCTTGCCACCGGATGCATCACTCTTTGCATGTGCCACTCCATTCATGGGCATTGCCCTGAGTTTACCATTTACCTTTTCCATTTTCTTCCACTCATCCACTTTACTCGCATAGCTCTGCTGTTGAGGTCCACTTGTGTTACCCAAACCCAGAGCGGCTGTCACTTTCACAGTTTCTTCACCTGCCTCACTGGCACGCTCGATGGCAACTGGCATCTTCTCAATCAGGTGGCCAGTGACTGCCGTCCCTGCATCACTATAGATGTTTGGAGCAGAAGTAGGTGCTGCCTCAGTCTGGGTTGCGGCCACCACCCCTTGAGCCGTCGCTCCGGTGGGATCTTGCCGGCCTCCCACCCTGGAAGTGGTCTGCTCACCCAGCACCGATTGCAGGTCACGGATTGTCTGAGCTTGGGTGTTGAGCCCCTCCTTCAACAGGCCGACTTCTGCCTGTGTCTGCTTAATGGTATGTAGCAGTGACGACACGTCCAAACTATTAAATGTGACTGGTGGAAGCGCCTGCAAGTTATGAGCCACAAACGTAGGCAGGTCTGGGCCTTTCTCATGTACAAACTTGACGATATCGTCCATATTCTGTGTTGCTTTCTTAGGCCCCTTCCTTGTTACCATCCTTGGCGAAAGTTACCTTCCTTAGAGAAAGAAGTTTAAAAATGATTTTGTACGCGGTTTTACTGATCGAAGCGCGAGTATTCCCATTAACTGATTGGGAAACTCAAAGTGATGTTGTTCTTTATTTTCAGTATTCTTCTTTTAGAACCTACACACAAAGGAACAATTTGATTATGATTGTGCCAGCCTGTGCTCCAAAATAACGGCAAGTCAAGATTATATTATCATTTTTACCAGTGAAACATGGTCGCTGCTGTCTATGTCATGCTGTGCTCCTCATGCCAATCACCGTAGGTATCTAGTATATCCGAAGAGATTTAAGAGAAATAAAGCATGGTACACCGATAGTCCTTTTAACGAGATCGTAGCGTGAGGCAGTAACGTAAGCCCCTAAAAATTGAAGCCTATAGAAATCTTTTTTAACCGTGCTGGCAGGCTCGACTGCCAAAGGACCAGAAAAGTATGAATTGCATAAAACCAATAATTACCGTTGTTTTCAAAGAGCGTTCGTCTGTCCAGCAGAGATTGTTTGGAATGCAGTTTGAGCTTTATGCTTGGAAATCTAATTAATTTTCCGTTATAATAACTCCTGGCAAATATACTTCCGATGTTCCGTTACTTCCGTTATTCATTCTGCCCTACCCACAGGCTGGCACACGGCATAATCCAACGGCAACACTCGACGGCGCCCGGTAAGTTACCGTTACGTTATCAAGTCCCGTTTACCGTTACGTTACCAGGTTGTCAGTTACCGTTACGTTACGAGCTGTGGGCTGACCGTCGTAACAAACGTGCGAGAATACCGCCAACAGGCCTACACAGTACACACACGTATGGTGAACAGGGGAGCACCACCCGACCGCGGACCGGGGGCGGGGGAGGGGGAGTTACCCACCCATCTGGCTAGACGTGAAGGCCCAAAAACGGCCAAAAATACAAAGCTAAGAAAAAATGACGAGATCTGTAGAAAGTATGAATGAAATGAGAAATTATTTCATAGTTTTAGATCTCTCGTCTCCCCGAGGCCCAAGATCTTGGGCACATGGTTAATAGGCACATTGCCATTTATATAATTCAGTTATCAGCTATCAACCGTACCTGTGCCATATCATGTCAATTGTCAACACATCAAAATCAACTTTTTCATTTTTATCATATAGAACAAATGCGGCACGCATCTCTTACTTCTGATGACGGTAGCATGAAATACGTTCTGACAATCAGTTGACCGAAGTATTTTTGCAATCGTTATGCCGGAAGGAGAATCCATCCTATTCACGTAGTTAAGTCTACCGCAAGCCAGGTGGGTAGGAACTCTGTACAGCCGATGGGTTTACCCCAAATGCCCCATACCTACGAGGCACGTGACGCACTGAACTGACTGTTACAACCGCTATTCCCACTGTCCTTGTTCATAAATCCATTATTACCTACTAATCATTTTTTTTTTGTAACAACGAAATTCAGCCAGCTTCACTTTTAAAACGGAGATAAAGTAAAAGTAGTATAAGTACACAATGCGCAGTCACAAAACGACTCGCTGACATAGATCAAGATGATAATGTAAAACTGGGCTTCATATTTTTTCCGATTCTTTAATACCTATGCTACCATGAATGGAGCCGCTAAAAGGAGTCCAACCACAAAAACAGCCAATCTTTATAAAACGGAACTAAATTAATGAAGGGAATTTAATTGCAGAGTACGATCAACGTCCACTACACCATCGGCCGGGGATGCAAGTCGAGTCGGGGGGGGGGGGGGGGCAGGGTAGGGCGGGGCGGTGCTCCCCTGTCGGATGTCGCCTCCGGGGCACCCACCTGCCGCGACTCCGGCCGCCGACGCGTCAGAGGTGCCCGGAAGGGGAAGGCCACCGCCACCTGCCACAGGAGCGGGACGGGCGAGCGTCAGACGACACCAGCGACCCTTCCCTCAGCGCCAGACCCGAGTACGGGATCGGCTGTTTATAATCATATACATAACAAGTAGTTGCAGTCATTTGATGGAGGAGGAAATTTGGTCATCTTTCAAATTTGATAACGAGTTACAGTTTTACTTGTTACAACATGCTCGCTGTACTAAAATGAAGGCATGAATGATTAAGCAAAACGATTACTATAAGACTGTTTATGAACAAGAATTAAAGGTTGAATGCTTACCTTGACTCAGGTCATGGTGCATCATCCCGGACATCGAATGCTCCGAGTCATAGCTGCCCTCATAGTTCACCACCTGGCCCAGCGCCTGCTCTAAGCTCACATCATCGTCCGTAATGTCCACTTTTTCCACTTTCACCGCCGGGTCCCGTCCTTCCGGGCCGGCCGGCAGCGGCGACACTGTGTCCGACATCTGCTGCTGCTGCTGCTGTACCGCCGGCTGCATCTGCAGCGGCGGCAGCTGTGACGGCGCGGGCGGCGGCGGCGGCTGGGTGGCCGACTCGGCAGGGGACGGCACGGCGTCTCCGGACGGCTCGGAGCCGGCCGGCGTGGCCGGGCCGCCGCCGCTCGAGCCGGACGGTTGGCGCGCGCGCGCCGCCGCTGGGGAGGCCGGCGGCGGCGGCTCGGGCGAGTCGGACACCACCACCGGCTCCACGTACACGTCTGAGTCGGTCGGCGGCGGCGGAGGAGGCGGCGGGCGCTTGGGCGGCGTGGGGGCCGGCTGCGGCGCGGCCAGTGGCCTCTTCATGGGTGTTGGTGGCAGCACGCGCGGCGCCATGGGCGGGGCGACCGGCCCCGGCCGGTGCCTGGGAGGCGGATGGTGCGACATCGGCTGCATCGGTGGGTGCCGTGCCACAGGTGGGGGCGGCTGTGCAGGTGTTTGTGATTCCTGAAGAAAGAGATGGAAGATATGTCATGGGCAACTGATCATGGTGATAGCCATTTGGATCTAAGGAAAACAGCCCCTGATAAGGCAGAGTAGCAGCTTCTCATCATACATAAGACCAGAAATTACTTTGAATATGCTGGAATGTCATTTGCCCATCATTTGACTTTGACTCAAGTTTCAACCAGCTTCAGATTTAAGTGAGTTTTGCTTCAGCAAAATTACAAAAAAAGGAGAGTCTCCATCTATAATGGACTCTCCTTTTAAAAAGGAGTCTCCATCTCCATTATAGTGCAACCAGTTTGATGGTTAAGATTCCATCTTGATCTGAACCCACCTTTTCATCATCACCAGTCAAGCCACGAACTTGCAGCATTTCAGCAGTCTTCAAAAAACTGCTCAACTGTCCTTGTGTGACGTTCACTTCACCATTGTACACAAACTCTACTACAGCTTTGAGATCAACATAGGTTGTGTCCTTGAGAAAAAAGACTGGATGTTGACAAGGATTTTCCTGAAAACAAGATACATTACCTTTTAGTAAAGCAGAACAGGGTGAGAGAACAAGAACAGATGTCATCTCATTCTGCATAACATTGAAAATGGAAACATCCATGCTGTTGATTGCTGAGGTTAATGGCTGGTGTCATTGTAAAGGTGATGGTCATGCCCCAGCCCAAAGGTTGCATTGAAAAAAAAAATCAGCAATTTATAAGTTGAAGGTTTGACTGACATTTTATGTGTGTACAACAGTTCATTGTCTTATCAAATTTCTATCCTTAAATGGCTTTAACAGCTCTTCAAATATCATTAGCACTTGATGAAAAATTGAATTGATTGAAATTGAAAGTAATTGACTTCTTTACAATTGACATACCTTGAGAAGCTCCCTGAAGTATGGACTACATGCTGAAAGCATCATTCTGTGGGCCTTCACCTTCTTGCCCTCACAGCAAAGCGTAATGTCAACCAGCTCTTCATCCTGCCTCAAGTCTTCAAACACAGCAGTGACACTGTTCCTGAAGTCATTCCACTTCAGGCAGAACCTCTGGCCATCAGCTGCCATAGCTCACTGAAACATCAAAGATTGGTTAGGAAACAGAACCTACTTTCAACAGTTCTCTGAAGACCACTTATACCAAACAGACTATTTAACACCTATGTACTTGTAAGAAGGTGAGGAAGGGTACAAACAATTACAGATGTCTTAGGAAGTAGGCCATTTTCAGTGTCATAGCATTTAACAATTTGACAGATGGAAGAGGTGGGCTACCTATCTCCACTGCAGTCATAACAAGGCCCAAAGACCAGTACTGTAGGGTGGGGCTATTTGAGACAGTATGTAGTGGTTGAGTAAAATGGGTATAAATTGAAAACCATTTGATATTTTTGTGTCATTTTTCCTCAGGCAATTCACTGTTTAATTCCACACCAACCTGAGCAAAAATGACAAAAAATGAAATGGTTTTCATTTTATAGACATTTTAATAGACCAATACATACTGTCTGAAATAGCCCCACTGTCTCAAACAGACCGACCAAACGCCTTACAGCATGATAGTGAGCTGTCAGGCTTTAAAGCTATTCAAGTCATTTATTTCAAAGAGTAAATATGATATCATAGTATTGTCCTGAGGGGTGTTCACGGGCACCGCACACTGCTGCGTGCGGTGTGTGCGGAGCGTCCAGCAGGCGTGGGGGTAGGGGATGGGTAGGCGGCTCTGACGTCACGGCTGCGTGCGGTGGACGGTCCGCTGTGGCCAGTCCCGACCGGCCACAGCGGTCGCTGTGTGCGGTGACGGAAGGCTGACGTAGGGACGCAGTGGGCGGAGCTTGGAGGCTGTGTGCGGTCCGACCGCACACAGGGCCCGTGAACAGCCCTCTGGTATAAATGAATTGTTGAACACCAGTAAAGTTTATATAAAGGTAGCTTTCAAAGGCTACTGCCTTCTTCATCAGCCATTCAAGGGTTTTAAATAACAAGACAATACATATTTGATTACTATTGTCCTGTAAATTGTTCATTCTCCCTAGTACATTCAGCAGCTTTCCGCAAAAGAGTGGCCAAACTTTAAGAAAAGTTTCTTTTTGTTTTCAAACTGCACAGGTAAACCTGAGGAGACACTTCTGAGGAGCTAGTTAGGTCAAGTAAGATAAGGTCCAATCTCCCGCAACTGTGGCTGGAAATGGGCAGGTGGCGATTCAGCTAGAGCCGCAGCTCTGCTGAACAGTCTCCCACCTCATGTTGTGGCTGCCTCCTGCATGCTGTTAATGCCGAAATGGTGGAAGGGAAAGCAGCACCTTGTCGCTGACCAACAGGGTGATTCGTGGACTGGAGGGGATGTCCATGCTTTGCCATGAGTAAATGTGAATAATCAGATAAGTAACCACAGATACAGGTCCTGAGCAGTAATTGGCACCAAATTTGAGAATATGGATTGCTTATGATTGTTCAATATCTATCATACCAATACCCTCAGCCACAATGCAAATACACACAATACAATTGTGTGGTCTGTGTGGTGACCCTCTTCAAGCTCAAAAGTTCTTTCCTTCATGTTTTTAAATTGTGAATTTCTCCATCTTTAGAGGGTGCAAAAGGTAGTAAGTCATCCAATGCCTCCCTTCTTGGTACACAAACTGAAATACTGAAATGCATTATCGCGGCCCGCGAACGCGAGACATTTCATTTTCAGAACAGGCACCTACCTTGCAAAATTATGCTTTATGATTTCTGCAGCAAAAGCTGGGCAGAGAAAATACAAACTACAACACATAGAATGTATATTACATGCACAGCCAGGCTTGGGCAGCGCCGGCGCGGACAAACCTGGACAAACCTCCGAGGCCCTCCTCTCCACTCTCCACTGCAAGGCCGTATAAGTTCTCCACTGCTCCTCCTGGTCAAGATGGCGTCAGCGAGCGTCCTCTCTGGTCCTCTCAGCGCTCAGCGCATCCCCTCAGCGACCAATCAGCGCCCGAGTTGCAAGATATATTTTGTAAAACAATTATTCAACCGATACAAAGGAAGCGAAGCCGACCTAATTTTTGACAAACAATAAAAAAATCATTGAAAGTTTTTTTTTTCAAATAAATGCTAACTGCTGTGTAATGAAAAAACAAATAAATGAGCTATTAAAATCACAATTTTCGTCTGCTATCACGGAACAGAAACAGGCGCTGATTGGTGGACATGTCAAGTGTCCTCTTATGAGGAGCTAGAGTGGCAAAAATGGACAATCAGGAACGGATGGATAAATGCCCCCGAAAACAGCGATGGATGACGCTTGGCGTAAGTTGTAACAAAGGTGACTGCTTTCCAATATCTATCTTTCCATAAAGTCGAAGATCACGAACCCAAGAAACCCAATCTGAACAACTTTGAAGAACCCAAGTTTTTTTCGGAACCAACCAAGCGATGAAGAAGTCTGTTTATTGGCATATGAAAAGTCTCGTCACAGCTCGCAGCCGAGCAAGACAAATCAGACAGGATCATACGCATACATGGTGCAAACAATGAGGCCAAGTCATCGTCGCGTCCATTCTTCTACCACAGACACTGACATGCATTCATAGTGAAACGACGGTTGCAAAACGCCTACTTCGATTTCCAAGATTGTTCCATGACTTTTCGTTAATTTCGACCTATCACTTACGGCTGGATGTTTTGTTGGGCGCTCGTCTCGGCTGAGCCCTGAGCAGTGAGCACCCAATGTGTTTGCAAATGTGTTCGGGCGTGACTCGAATTTTTAGGGGTGGGGGAGAAAAGGGAAAAATTGAGTCGGAAAGATAAACAGACAGCGGAAATAACATTTCAAACTATATATATAGTAATTAAGGGCTAGGAAAAAAAATGAAATAGATAGGCACTTCTTTAGGTCAATAATATGAAATGGTTTACAGCAGAGTCTAAAAATAAGAAATGGCCAATTTTGATGAAATGAATGCACATCAAAGACACAACAGACTTTGTACAGACGCCGATTGGCACCAAACAACTGCACCTCTGTGGATGACGTCACCAAAACGACATCCGATGTAGTACGTGAGGACCACGGCAGCCTCCATATGCGATCGTGCACCCGATCACAGACGTCAGTCACCAATGGGTCCACATTATACGACTATCAAAAACAGCGATGACGAACTCATACAACTCACGCACACTCGAACACACATACTCCCACAGCATGAGTCTGTGGAGACTCATGTACGTTTACACGCGAATTTACGCGAGCATCCATTTGAAGCAGGTAACTTCTGCTTTTCACGGACCTCGACATTACGCGGTGTTCCTCCATCCTTATTCGTCAGAGGTCTTAATTCCATTTTCTGCCGCTGGCAGCGCCACTATCGCACCCAGTGCGATGCAGCATTCGTCTCTGCCGGACCGGCGGTCACTCACAGGGCGTCGGCAGCGGCAGCTCCTGACCGCCCTCACCGCTCTTACCGCTCTCCACGACACTGCGGGCGAACCTGACGCCAGCACGCAACCGCACCGCCAGCTCCACGGTCGGCCGTATCTGACCAGGTCCCTGACAAGTGACCACAGACCGGTGACCACTAACAGGTGACCACTGACCGGCGACCACTAGCCAATGACCACTGACCACTGACCACTGGACAGTGACCAGCGACCACTAACCATTACCAGAGACCACTGACCGGCGACCACCGTCCTCTGCGGCCAGTCGTAACCCAGATCGGCCGCCGCGCGCCAGAGATCCTTCCAGTCACCGGGTGCCGCGGACAGTCCCTCCGCCGGCGCCGGCTCGTGCACCAGCCGCCGAGTCTCCGTTCCCGCGTCTGACACCTTATCCGTCCATTGTCCGTTAGTGTCTGCGCCGCTTGTCCCTGTCGTCGCGGCGCTCGTCGCCGGGCCGCTTGCTGGCCTGTTTGGCTTTGGAGAGGAACTGGTCGATACCGAACGGATCGAACTCCTCCTGGCGCTCGAACTGGACGGGCCCCGTGCGCGGCGCGCCGCCGGACCGGTCGGCGCCCTCGAAACCCTTGTCGGGAGCGAACCTGAAATGGATGGCCAATGTGGTGACGGTGAACGTGGCAGCGGTGGAAACACGTTTTGGTGCATGTTAAACAAACGACACAAATAAACGTGCCTTAGTGTGAGATTTGAGTGTGTTAAATACACGTTCATATGTACTTGGAGCAATGTAAGCATTTGCAATTTCGGTGACAAACGTTTTCTTTTTTTGTAAACTGTTGTAGCAGTATCTGCTCCGAGACGTCACGCTCACGCTGCCGGTCCTCCATCCAGTCGAGTATGAATACCCGACCGTCATAGCTACGGCACCCGGCCCAAACCATTCCCGCCGCCACGACTCACCTGTTGGTCTTCATCAGGCTCTCCAGATCATCACCAAACACCTCCTTCTCGACATTCTTTCCCGGCCGGTACACATTGGAGGCCATCGAGGCGCCCTGGCCCCACGGCTTGTCGTACACGTTGTACGCGTCCTCGTCGTTGAACCCGCTGTCCATGCCACGGCTCTGGTTGAAGAGCCGCTGGTCGAACTGGGTCTCCCCGGAGCCGCCGGGGCGGGCCGGCAGACCGAGCGCTATCTGTTCGGAGATGTCTCGCTCACGCTGCCGGTCCTGGCGGCTGCGCTTGTCGTTGCCGGTGCGCGCCAGGTTGCGCTCACGCGCGCGCTCCTTGTGACGATCCTGACGCAGCGCGTCACGGTCGCGCACCGCGTCATCTGGGAACAGAGGCAGAGGCGGGGCCGGCGCCCACTGAGACCGAGAGGTGGTGAGGGGTGTCCGACTTTTACTACTGTGCTCGGTAACGATAAAAGTGCAGCGAATTCCTCCAGACTGAAACTGAGAGGTGACTGACGGGAAATAGGGAGCCAGCTGGAACCTGTCGGCCGAGCCGGAGAGGGGTTAAGCCACGCCTTCCAGCGCCACCTGTTGGCTCAAGGGGGATTTTCGTTACGTTCATCATGACACTGACAGGTCTCTAGAATCGATTGGGACCTCGCCAACCTGTCACCTTACAACACTGTGGGATAGCTTGTTGATGTCACATTCAGTAATTAGCAGATCAACAAAAGCAATCTAACTCCAGGATGCCCCCAATCTACCTATCTAACCCCTGATAAGTAATAAGAGGATGTTCTATTATTTGCTCGCTCGCAGTCAGCCCGGACCCGGATACCGTTCATCCCTGGTCCTATCCCCACTACTGTGTACTCACAGAGCATGGACGTGTATCCGCAGAACCGCTCTACAACCGGCTCAATTTATACTCCCAGTCGCCAAGGTCAGTCACTACTACGCTCCACCGCCCACCAGCTCTGCCACTTAACCAATCAAGTAGCACTCCGCCCTAGTTAAATTTAACGCACCACATCCTTTCAGCGCGCCCGCACGCAGTCACTCGGCTACGAAAACATCATCCAGTACCCGCCCAACGCAGCGTCTCACCTTCTTTGGCGGTGGCCGTGCGGATACCAGCGCGCTCCTCGCGGGCCTTCTTGGCGAGCTCGCGCAGATTCTCCTCCTTACGCTCCTTCTCCTTCTGCGCCAGTCGCTTCTCGAGCTGGGCTCGCATCTCGACCGCCTCGCGGGACTGTTGACATAGGCGGCCGTCATTACATGTGTCATCATGAGTACCGAACGCTGGCAGGATCTGCATTGAACAGCTGGGATAAACAATGTCATCACTTTACCACCAAGTATGCCAGCTCGTTTATACAACACGCACATTCGCGCTGACCTTTGCTAGTCTCGCTGGGTACGGTTTATCAAAGTTTACAGCATCAGACGCTACCCGCCAGTCTTGGTCTTGGAATGTGATAAGCATATGAGATGACTGATATGCGTACATATGTGTAGCCGTAGCAGTTACTGCGTATATTTCTGTGGCGTGGCCCCGACTCTGTCTAGACGAGTGGTTTGGCCGGTCGCGGCGCCCGGGGCCCTGTGACGTATTGGACCACGTGACCTCGCCGAGACCGGGGATGTGCGGGCCGATGGCCGGCAGAATGGTGCTGGCCTTGATGCTGGAGTGACGGCCAATACAAATGCAGTGAGTGACTCCGAATGTGAGAGTGCGGCAGTGCAGTGACTGGCTACATTTGGTGGCAGCGGGTCCGGACAACGCTTTTTCGGACGCCTGTACGAGACCAGTTTGTCTCGTGCCTTCTGCGATTTTCAGCGCTGCATGTGTCGTGTGTCGCCGTCTGCACTCCGCGATCACTCGTGACGCTGCCTGTCGTCTTCGCTGCCGAGTACCTGGTGGCGACGCGTCTGCTGGTATCTACTGGTGGCGACGTGTCTGCTGGTGTCTGCTGGTATCTGCTGGTGGCGACGCGTCTGCTGGTGTCTGCTGGTGGCGACGTGTCTGCTGGTGTCTGCGCGTCTGCTGGTGTCGGCGCGTCTGCTGGTGTCGGCGCGTCTGCTGGTGTCTGCGCGTCTGGTGGTGTCGGCGCGTCTGCTGGTGTCGGTGCGTCTGCTGGTGTTGGCGCGTCTGCTGGTGTCGGCGCGCCTGCCTGAGCCCTGACTTGGTGTCTGTGCGCCTGCCGGACTGGTGTCTGCGCGCCTGCCCGACTGGTGTCTGCGCGCCTGCCCGACTGGTGTCTGCGCGCCTGCCCGACTGGTGTCTGCGCGCCTGCCCGACTGGTGTCTGCGCGCCTGCCCGACTGGTGTCTGCGCGCCTGCCCGACTGGTGTCTGCGCGCCTGCCCGACTGGTGTCTGCGCGCCTGCCTGACTGGTGTCTGCGCGCCTGCCTGACTGGTGTCTGCGCGCCTGCCTGCCTGGTGTCTGCGCGCCTGCCTGCCTGGTGTCTGCGCGCCTGCCTGCCTGGCGTCTGCGCGCCTGCCTGCCTGGCGTCTGCGCGCCTGCCTGCCTGGCGTCTGCGCGCCTGCCTGCCTGGCGTCTGCGCGCCTGCCTGCCTGGCGTCTGCGCGCCTGCCTGGCGTCTGCGCGCCTGCCTGCCTGCCTGGCGTCTGCGCGCCTGGCTGCCTGGCGTCTGCGCGCCGGCCTGCCTGGCGTCTACGCGCCTGCCTGCCTGGCGCCTGCCTGATTGGCGTCTGCGCGCCCGCCTGCCTGGTGTCTCTGCCCGGCGGCTCGTCTACGGACGCTTCTAAACAACCGGTAGGTTCAGCCCTGCAGTTTTTTACCACCCGTGTCCTTGTAGTGTTTTGCTGTGCAACCTGTCATAATGGATGAAAAACCATGTTCTGTGTCGCCCGGTGCCACATCGGGCCCTGTAAATGTGGGGATGCCTCGATTTTCGGGAGAGGGATGTGTTCGTCGTTTTCTGGATGATTTTGATCGGTATGCTCGCCTACAGTACTGGACTGATGAGCGGAAAGTAGATATCCTTCCACTCTGCCTTTCTGGGATCGCCAGAGACGCGTTTGACGCTCTGTCCAGGGAACAGCAGCGGACGTTTCAATCGGCTGCAGATGGTCTCCGGGCTGCTTTTTCGCAGCGCAGTGCCATTGACTATCACCTAGCCTTGCGAGGCCTGCGATATGATCCACGTGAGTCACTGGATAACTTTGTAATCACGTTCCGCAAGCATGTGGCAAATGCGTTTCCCAACCAGCCTGCGGATGGTCAAGGCGAGCTACTCTTTAACCATTTTCTGTCTGCTCTGCCTGATGATTATTATGCGGCTGTGATTGCTGACGGTATCACCTCGTTCGATGCCGCTGTCGCTAAGGTGCGAAACAAGCGCAATGCTACCAAAGGCGTTCCGCATGACGCCTCGGTGCGTTCTCTAGCGGTAGGGGGCGACGATGAGTCCATAATTGCTCAGTTGCAGCGCCGTATCGCGGAGCTCGAGTCACAGCTGCAAAACCGGCCAGTGGGGTCGCGTGGCGCTGGCCCCCGTCAACCGCGAGACTGTTTTGCTTGTGGTAAGTCTGGTCACATGAGGTGGCAGTGTGCCAAGCGGGACCATCGTTGTCAGCGGTGCGGGTCCCTGGGGCATGTGGAAACTGTTTGTGGCAGGTACCCTCAGGCGGAAAACTGGCGGGGAACCGTCCCGGGGTCCGGGGTCGGGTCCCGCGATCTGACGCAGGGCCAGCCGACGGCGTAATCACGTTGCAACCGGATATGACATTCACTGCGCTGTTGAACGGAGTCAGTTGCACATGCTTACTGGACACTGGCAGTAACATCAGTATAGTCAATCGTTCGGTGTTTGACGCTCTCCCGGGCCGGCCGTCGCTGCGCAAAACCACGGTGCGTGCCAAAACTGCCTCTCTGGATGATCTTCCGTTGTTGGGAACAACCGTCTTGTCGTTTGATTTTGGGGTAACTTGTGCATCGGTTCCTGTATTTGTATCGGAGTCCATCGATGTGCCGTGTCTCCTTGGGCTGGACTTTTTACGTGTGTGCCCGTGCGTCATTGATGTCCGACGGAGCCGGCTGGTACTGACGCCAACAGCTGCTGTGCGTTCGGTGTCGGCCGAAGCCGTCTCTGTGGGGAATGTGGTGGTGAGTCGTGACACGGTGATATATCCGGGTGATGAGGTACTCGTACGTGGTTTTGTGTCCCGCTGTGACTATCGTGGCCCAGCTGTTGTGCAACCCCAGCTGGAGATTGTGGGTCTTGAGTTCGTCAGTACGCTAGTCGAGGTGTCCGGGCCATCCGTACCTTGTGTGGTTCGGAACATAACGACTGAACCGATATCGATTCTTAAACGTAGTGAATTGGGGCAACTTGAAGTGGGGTTTGCTGAGGAGATTGCGGACGCGCCCATTAGCCCTCACGGTAGAAATGTTTGTGATAAGTTTGATTTGAACACATGTGGGCTATCTGATGAGCAAAAGGACCAGGTAAGGGATGTACTGAACAAACACGAACAGATGTTTGACGGACATATTGGTTTTACCACCCTAGTTAGCCACAGCATTGACACGGGTGACAGCCCGCCGGTGCGTCAGCCACCGAGACGCATACCTACCCATCTTGCCACTGAAGTGAAGGCGCAGATAGAGGATCTTGTGAGACAGGGTGTGCTGGAGGAGTGTATGGGAAGCTGGGCTTCCCCGATCTGCCTGGTGAGACGGAAAAACGGTAAGATTCGCATATGTGCGGATCTCCGGCGGCTCAATTCCGTAACTCGACCATCATCTTATCCCATTCCTCGTGTGGATGAGTCACTTGAAGCGCTATCAGGTTCCAACATGTTCTGTGTCTTGGATATGAACAACGCGTATTTTCAGGTGGGAGTGGATCCGGATGACAAGGACAAAACTGCCATAATCACTCCTTTTGGCTGCCATCGCTATTCTCGGATGCCGTTCGGCTGTTCGGGAGCCCCTTCCACGTGCGCTCGGCTGCTCGATGTGGTGCTCAAAGATGTGCCATCTTCCAGTTGTGTTCACTATTTTGACGATGTGATTGTTCATGGTTCTGATTTTAAAGATGTGCTGGCCAAACTAGACTGTGTTCTGACTCGTTTGCAGGATGCTGGTCTGACATTGAACCCGGAAAAGTGTGAGTTATTTCGTTCCAGCGTCACATTTTTAGGTCATGTTGTTTCTAGTGAAGGAATTGGAACCGACCCAGAAAAGGTTAGGAAAATTTTGGAGTGGCCGCAGCCGTGCAATGTGAAGGAACTTGGTAGTTTCCTTGGGTTGGCATCTTACTTCCGCAAATATATTCCTCACTTTGCAGAAGTGGCAGCCCCGTTATTCAAACTTACCCAGAAAGATGTCACGTTCTCTTGGTCACCAGAGGCACAGTCTTCGTTCGAGGCGCTGAAGACTGCTCTGACGGACGCTCCAGTGATGGCCTTTCCACAGTTCGGAGACGGTGCTGGTGTCTTCACGCTGGACTGTGACGCGAGCGATGAAGGCGTTGGAGCGGTCTTGTTACAGGAGCAGGGTGGCGTGGATCGGGTCGTAGCCTACGGAAGCCGCCGACTGTCCAAGGCTCAGCGAAATTATAGCACGACGAGGAAGGAGCTGTTGTCGTGCGTTTTATTCACGCAACATTTTCGGCACTACCTTCTTGGCCGTAAGTTTCGGTTACGTTCAGACCATGCCAGTCTCCAGTGGCTTTTAAATTTCAGACATCCTACTGGAGTGATTGCCAGGTGGTTTGAAATTTTGTCAGAGTTCGATTTTGATATTTTGTATCGTCCAGGTGCAGAGAACGTTGTCGCCGACGCGCTGAGCCGACGACCGGCTGACCGGGTGGAAGTCTCCACACAGACCGACGAGCCCACTGTCCGTGCAGTTTCAGCCCTTTCGTGGTCGTCCAGCTACCTCAGGGAACAGCAGGATCAGGACGGGGCTGTTGCTGAAGTAACGCGTTTTCTGTCCGCGGGTGTGAAACCTCGAAGGCGTGAGGTGTCTGCGGCGGTGTCGCCGTTCCTCGGGCAGTGGTCTAGGCTGACTCTTCTGAATGGTGTTCTTTACAGGATGTACAAAAGACGTGCTGGTGAAGCTGAGAGACTGCAGGTTGTCGTGCCTGAGTCGCTGGTTCCGGGAGTGCTGACATCGCTCCATGCAGGTCCGGCTGGTGGTCACTTTGGAGCTGAAAAACTTCTGGAACAGATTCGGGCCAGGTTCTGGTGGCCTGACATGGCTCGCAGTGTTGAGACGTTTTGCAGGAGCTGTGAGCGGTGTAACACCAGAAAGGACCCGGTCCCTCGACCTCGTGCTGGCATGGGGGAATTGTATGCAGCTGAGCCTTTTGACACTGTGTGCATTGACATTTTGAGTGGATTGCCGACAACTGGTAGGGGAAATAAGCATCTGCTTGTGGTGTGTGACGCGTTTACACGCTGGTGTGAAACATACCCTCTTCCTGACATGAAGGCCACGACTGTAGCCTCAACTCTGGTCAATGAGTTTTTTGCCAGGTACGGCTGCCCTCGGCGACTGCATTCTGATGGTGCTGCAAATTTTACAGGTGCGATTCTCGCGGAAACCTGTCGGTTGCTGGGGATTGAAAAGTCGAAAATATCGTCCTATCATCCAGAGGGGAACGCTAAGGCTGAGCGCCTCATGCGTACCATTCTCGGCATGCTCTCAAAGTACCTCGACAATAATCACACGGAATGGGATCTACACCTCCCTTTGCTAATGCTGGGGTACCGCGCCCAAATCCATTCTTCGCTGGGGTACTCACCCTATTATCTGATGTTTGCGCGCGAACCAAAACTGCCAGCGGAGGCGGTGTTGGGTGCGCCAGTGCCGACGAGTAGTCGATCAGTGGCAGAGTATGTGGACGGGCTTTGCGCTAGTCTGCGGTTGGCGCACCACTTTGCCATCTCTGCATCTGATCGCCGGCACGCTCGCAACAAACGAGCTTATGAAAGTAAGTTGAACGAGTTCACATTTCACCCAGGCGACCTGGTTTACCTACACAAAGCGGTAGTTCCCGTTGGTCAGTACTACAAATTCTTGAGACCTTGGAAGCCCGCTACGATACTCCGGAAAGTGGGCGATATGAATTACAGGGTAAAGCTCGATGGCAATGGTAAAACGATTTTGGTTCACCATAATCGGCTAAAGCCTCGAGCTGTGTCCCCGAGAGACGTGTCTGAGGAGCCCGAGTCCGAGTCTGTTGGACCTGATGTTGATGGTGTTCCTGATGTGCGTGCCGAGCAAATTGTCCCCAAAGCCGGCCGATACGGAACGCACAGTGCATTAGATAATCGTGGTTCCCTTGAAGTTACAGCGCCGGATGTGTCTACCTGTGTTGGTGTTGTGTCAGATGTGTGGAACAATGGAGGGGAGTGGATTGTGTGCAGTGGTGTCCCGTCTGACGCCGCCTATGCCCCGTCTGACGCCGACGTTGTTCCGTCTGACGCCGCCGGTGTCCCGTCTGACGCCGCCGGTGTCCCGTCTGACGCCGCCGGTGTCCCGTCTGACGCCGCCGGTGTCCCGTCTGACGCCGCCGGTGTCCCGTCTGATGCCGCTGGTGGCCCTCTCGACGTTGTTGTGGCCCCTCTTGACGTTCCTGATGCCTCACCTGGCGCTGCTGGTGCCCATCCTGACGCTGTTGGTGTCCAGTCTGGCGCCGCTCGTGCCCCTCCTGACGCTGCTGGGATCCCTTCTGGTGCTGCTGGGATCCCGTCTGACACTGCTGGTGTCCAGTTTGACATCGTGGATGCCGGTGCCACGCCTGGTGTTCTGGGTGACGTTGCTGGTGCTCGGGGTGACTCTGGTAATGCGCAGGGTGATTCTGTTCATTATCATGAGCGGGGTGACTGTGTTCCGGGCTCTGATGTTGGCGCTGTTGTGAGTGGGAGTCAAGGTGCGTCTGTGGACTCCGATGCAGGTGCAAGTGTTGAGTCTGAGTTGGGTCCGGGTGGTGCGCGGCGGCGTCCGGTTCGGTTGCGTAAACCACCCGATTACTATGTGCCATGAATTTAGTCATTATGCTCGTTGATAATGACTTTCTGTTGCAGTGCCCTGCGATCAGACGCTTAGTGCAACTGACTCCAGTGACCCGGAGGCCCCGGACTCGTGGGTGCCGAGTCTGACCGTCTGGTCATGCCCGCAGCCGGCGCTCGTCTTCCTGTGATGTAGCTCCGAGAAGATGCGCGGCATGCGCGGCCGCGATCGTGAGCGCCGGTGGTTGTGCGCCCTATCCTACGGTTTCGCCGCGATTTGTTGCTGTGTGTCCTGCTGGTGGCTGTGGCCGTGAGAGTTTCTGTTGGTGTCGGACGTCTCCCCGCGATGTTGCGCCGGTCAGATGCGGGGCCCGCGCGGCCGCGCTTCTGGGCGCTGGTAGCTGTGCCGTTCCGATCGACTGTTTCGCCGCGATATGTTTGGCGTCGTGTTGCGCCTGCGGTTGTAGCCGCTAAGTTTCTGTTTTGTTTCACGGTTCTGATTGCGGGAGTCCGACAGCTTGCTAATGTATTTATGAGGGGGAAGAGTGTAGCCGTAGCAGTTACTGCGTATATTTCTGTGGCGTGGCCCCGACTCTGTCTAGACGAGTGGTTTGGCCGGTCGCGGCGCCCGGGGCCCTGTGACGTATTGGACCACGTGACCTCGCCGAGACCGGGGATGTGCGGGCCGATGGCCGGCAGAATGGTGCTGGCCTTGATGCTGGAGTGACGGCCAATACAAATGCAGTGAGTGACTCCGAATGTGAGAGTGCGGCAGTGCAGTGACTGGCTACATATGCAATGCTTAAAGAAAAGGTCACCTTTTTACGTTGCAGTACAAATTTAGAAACAGCATATTAAAGTGTTTACGCTACAAACCAGGCGATGGCGAGGGCACCTTCTTTGGTGGTGTAAGTGTATGAGTACTTTTTTGTCAAGGTAGGAGGAAGCTGAAGGCCAAAATATTTCATTTCTTTTAATGCACTGTCCACTGTCAAATAAGATAAAACTCAGGTAGGTGCGCGGTATGCATTTTCGCGTGACTTATTTTTCCCTTAATTAACCCTTCAGATCCACCAGTGCGAGCGGTGACATCCCGGGTACAGTAGCGCCAGGGACCGACCTTTCTGTCAGCGATGTACAGCGACTCAGCCAGCTTGGCAAAGTTCTCGTTGATGTGGACCTGCTGGAGGCCACGACCGTCGGCTGCCAGCCGCTTGTCCAGCGGGATCGTGTAGCCCTGAGGGTTGGAAATACAGCGGTCAGAGGGGAGGTTACGGCGGTCAGAACACAGGTCACGGCGGTCAGAACAGTGGCCACAGCGGTCAGAACGAAGGTGGCAGCGGTCAAAAAGCTCACAGCAGCCCGAGGAAAGCCACTATCTTCAAAACACGAATAGCAGTGAAAGAGTCAGGGAGGACATTGAAGACAGAACAGATGTGACCATAATCAGCGTAAGTCACATATCTAACAAACAGATGGCTGACTTAAAGTACATAGTTATGGTCAGAATTACGAGCAATGTGCCACTGCATCAGAGACAACAGACTCAAATGCAGTGAACGACAACCCACGCGGCACGACACGCTGGTCTGATTGGCTACATGAAATGGCATCCAAAGCAATACAATGATGGTCCCGCTCGTCTGGAAAGATCATCGTCAATGATTATGACAAATACGACCGATGCTCATCGCACCGTGTAGCATACGAAACTTAGCGATAGTTGCAAATTCAAAGACAGAACGAGAGCACCGATAGAATGCCCGAGGCCCCGAATTCCAATAAAAAGTTTATACTAAAGATTAATCACTTTCTAGCTGGTTCACGTTTCATCTAAATTTTACAGTCAACACCGAAATTTGTAAAGTGCAATAGCAAGTGCGAGACCGGGCGATACCCCTTCTCGAAAACAGGAATACGTCACCAAATAGCCCAGTTTCTATCCGCTCTGTGTTAGCATGTCGGGCGTAGGCAGTGCGCTCAGCTATGTGTAAATTGATGGCCTTGGAAGGCCGAGACTCAGCCAGCCGGCGCAGGTCGCTCCGTCTCGGCATAGCACTACATTGAGCTCAATTGTGTTCACCGACTGCACGGTACAGTACACCGCGGCTCCGCGACACAGCCGGCCTCGCTTCCTGTCACGCTGGTCCCCGGTGGGGGTCCACGAGCCACGACCGGACCACCCGGCCCAGTCGGCAACAGTGCCACAGCCGAGTCATGTATCCATTCACCGTGGGCGCAATCACGCTACACCACGCCCAAAATGCCTGAAACCCTCCAGCAAAACAAATCCAATGACTGAACGGTGACGGTGAAAATATCGTCGCTTTAAGCGACGATATAGCGACGATATTTTATCAGGTACCTACCTACTACCTAGTGAGCTCTGTTCACAGCGGCAGTGTCCGCTACACAAAACGCGCAGCATGCCCGCCGAAGGACGCAGTCACGCCGAAGGCCGCAAGCCGCTCGCCTCATATAAACATAGAGCGCTGCCGGGTGGCCACAGTGACGCGGACAGAGAAGAAAGAAACAAATAAACGGCAGATCGCTTCCAAACGCGGCCGACGTTTTGTAACTCCAGTTCAGAATAAACGTCAGAAAAGTCGCGCCAGATTACTGTCAATTATTCTCAGCTCCAGACGAGGACAATGCGCTTTTGCCCATGTTTTTGCGCAATGCTTATGTGCATACCACCACTACACACTGCCTTTCAGACACCAGCGGCCCAAACTGCCCAGCATCTAGATCTAGCCTTTTTTGTAAGTCCATTGCAAAAACTACTATAGAACTAGGTGTGAAGTTCAAATAGATAAGTGCGCAGTTGTATTATTTCCGGTGCTCCCTCGCAGCTCTCCTTCACCGCTACATGTCGTAGCAAAATACCCAGGATCTGTGAGACAGACAGTCGACGTGCAGCGCCCTATCCTCGTGACAGCCCACGACAGCAGATCACAGCGCAAATAGCCTACAGGAAGCGCTCTGACCTTGGCGTTTTTCCAGTTTGAGATGCACGGAGGGATCTTCCAGTCCTGCTGCTCCTTGACGGTCACCTTCCGTGTCGGAGAGTGCATCACAGGCGCCGGCGGCGACGGAGGACCACGAGGGATCTTGGCGTTTATTCTGAAATAGACAAGGAACGGGATAAAACTTAAATAAGTTGCCAACACATGTTGAACAACACGGCTACGGTGATAAATTTCGGCCTGTGGAACATTCACAATTCACATCGTAAGTACCGCGCTATAATGTAGTAGGCGTAGCTTGATACACTGCATTTAGCCATACCCGATGTTTGTTTTCAACCATGATAGTATCTCACCCATTCATGATCCGCCCACATATAGTGGCATTACCGAACAGTCAAGCCGGAATTAATCTTGCTCCCTGTGTATCATACCAGCCAATACCCTCGCCTTTCACCGCGAAGCTTTAGCTGAATTGGAGCGAAATGGCGAAAAGTCGTATGAACCACATGCTCTTGTCTAAAAAAATCGATACTTTTATAGGGCTTTTTATTCGCAAGAAAAATGGCTGAGGATAACAAACTGCTGTATTTGTCATGTCAAGTAACAGGCCATCCATCAACAGCATCGTTTAAACCAAAATTATGGTGCAGCTGACGGTACACCATAACCAATAACCATACAGCAATAGCCCACGTTGCTTGTAAGTTGCATCATAATTGCCAGCTGGCAAAATACAGTTTTAGTTTTTACGCACAAGCCTGAAACTGGTAGTCTCTGAAGAGCGTCAGTGACTCCCGAGTGACGCAAAGCACATCAAACATACCCTAATATCAGTACGAAATATTGACATGATATGAATATTCAGGGCAGACAGAATATTGACAGAATATTCCGGCAGTGGGTTACCGGCTAACGGGCAGTATGAAATGCGTCCACATCAAAGGCAATGTATTTGGAATGATTCAGGTTGTCTTTACAGATTTGCAACTAATTTTAACGACATTTCTGTATGAATCCAGCCAAAGTGTTTTAACTCCAACGTTCAGTAATCACTACACGGAATGCCCCGCCGCCAGCACAGCCCACGGCCGCTGCTAGTAGCCCATGGAGCTGGCGGAGCCCACCACGATCAGCACCAGGAAGACGAGGAACGCCAGTCGGTCCAGCAGTCCGGCCAGCGCGGTCCACTCGTGACAGAGGCCCTTGGCGTCCGGCTCGGGCGGCGCGGCCAGACAGCAGACACAGGCCAGGCAGCCGGTCAGCAGCCGGCGCAGACAGGCGGGCAGCCGGCAGGCGCGCGGCCGGCCCAACACCACCACCAGCACGGTCCAGAGCAGCACGGCCACGGCGATGTACGTGTAGGCGTGGTAGGTGCGCAGGTAGTGCGCCCGGTACTCGGCGGTGCCCACCAGGCCGAACTCGGCGAGCGCCGCACCGCCGGCCGCCAGCACACTCAGACAGGGCAGGGTCAGCTTCTGTGGCGAGTCGACCGGCACCAACAGACCGGCCAGCGCCGTCAGCAGCGACACGGCCACCGGCAGGTTGGGCCACGCCGACAGCGAGCCAGAGCGGCGCAGCTTCACCTCCAGTGTCGCATCCACGTACGGCTGGCAGCACTCGTAGTACACGGTGTTCTTCTTAATGGACGCTCCCTGCAGCTCCCAGATCTCACCAGTCTTGATGAACGATGACAGGTCGGCGCTGTCATCTTTAATGTCTATATCCACCTGGTGTCCATTGTAAGTCCAGGAGCCAAGTTTCAGCGTGCATCGGAATTCCTCAAGGTGGGGACCGGCGTGGTAGTCTCTCCTACAAAACACACGCAAAGACGACGGCGGCACGTACAGCATCGAACCGTCCGAGTTCACGACGATTAACGTCTTTCCCATCCACGACATATCCGGTCGGGCAGCATGTTGTACGGCATGATGTCCGGAATCCACACATCATCCGGCGGGATGCGCAGGCTCTCCACGCCCCCATAGTCCTCCGGGTCCCAGACGAGTTTGTCGTCCTTCCACTCCAGGTTACCCCAGATGTTGAGCGTGGCCTCGTGCGTGGCCTCATCGAGCACCACCTGCTGCAGAGTCAGTCCCAGG